AGGCTCAAACTCTCATTCACCTTTGGGAGGCGACAGACAAACAAACTCTAATGCAAGTCAGCCACCCCTTGACAGCACCCGGCAGCCAGCTAGCACCACTCCACAGCCGTCAGGTGGTGACCAGGAGCCAGATGACTCCAACAGCAATGATGAAGAACCAGTAAGCTGGCCTGGCCTTAAAATAATATTCAGTCTTACTTGATAATAATTATATAACAAAATTTCCAATCAGTTTATTTCTGTAATTTTTAAATCGTGTACAGTGTCTTTGGTTGGATGAGATTTCATTCATTATTGATTTCATTTTGTTAAACTTTCAGAGGAAAGCCACATATGAGCAGTTCAAAGGCTGGCTAGATTCCCAGAGACGAGGCGGATCAAACCGAGATGATAAGAGAGATGGTGACAGAAGGGGCAACAGAAAGGATGATGAGGAAGATGATAGAAGTGACCGTAGAAGAGGCAACAGAGATGATGATAGAGATGATGACAGAAGGGGCAACAGAAAGGATGATGAGGAAGATGACAGAAGTGACCGTAGAAGAGGCAACAGAGATGATGATAAGGATGATGACAGAAGGGGCAACAGAAAGGATGATGATGAAGACGATAGAAGTGACCGTAGAAGAGGCAACAAAGATGATGATAAAGATGATGACAGAAATGGCAAGAGAAAGGATGATGACGAAGATGATAGAAGTGACCGTAGAAGAGGCAACAGCGATGATGATAAGGATGATGACAGAAGGGGCAACAGAAAGGATGATGATGAAGACGACAGAAGTGACCGTAGAAGAGGCAACAAAGATGATGATAAGGATGATGACAGAAGGGGCAACAGAAAGGATGATGACGAAGATGATAGAAGTGACCGTAGAAGAGGCAACAGAGATGATGATAAGGATGATGACAGAAGGGGCAACAGAAATGATGATGATGAAGACGATAGAAGTGACCGTAGAAGAGGCAACAGAGAAGATGATAAGGATGATGACAGAAGGGGCAACAGAAAGGATGATGATGAAGACGACAGAAGTGACCGTAGAAGAGGCAACAGAAATGATGATAAAGATGATGACAGAAGGGGCAACAGAAAGGATGATGATGAAGACGACAGAAGTGACCGTAGAAGAGGCAACAGAGATGATGATAAGGATGATGACACCAATGACAACAATAATGACGACAGCAATGACGACAATAAAGACGATCAAGAAGATGGCGGGGACGAGAAAGGAGATTTTATCCAGAGAAATATTGTCAAGTTTAAAGAGTTCGTTAGGATGAAGGTAAGAAGCATTGTCAAGTTCAAAGAGTTCGTTAAGATAAAGATAAGAAACATTGTCAAGTTCAAAGAGTTCATTAGGATGAAGGTAAAGAACATTGTCAAGTTCAAAGAGTTCGTTAGGATGAAGGTAAGAAACATTGTCAAGTTCAAAGAGTTCGTTAGGATGAAGGTAAGAAACATTGTCAAGTTCAAAGAGTTCGTTAGGATGAAGGTAAGAAACATTGTCAAGTTCAAAGAGTTCATTAGGATGAAGGTAAGAAACATTGTCAAGTTCAAAGAGTTCGTTAGGATGAAGGTAAGAAACATTGTCAAGTTCAAAGAGTTCGTTAGGATGAAGGTAAGAAACATTGTCAAGTTCAAAGAGTTCGTTAGGATAAAGGTAATATTATCTAGCAGCAAAAAAAAAAAAATGTATGAAAAGCGTTTTGACCATTCAATCTCCAGGAATTGTACTTTTTTAAAAACTGTATTAGAGCACTTTGTGCAGTGTAGTCCCTTTTGTACAGGATAATGTTGTATTTTTTATGTACACAGTGATTTATTTCATTTATTATGTGCACGATGACCTAATACATTGTTTATTACATGATGGCCGTGTACACTGTTTTGACCTTGAAACCTAGAAGACAACAGACTAAGCTTACATAGGATAGCGTCCCTTTGGGATCTTTCCGTCAAGAACCTGGGAGAGGGGGGATTTCTTGGGGTCAGTGGCGTAACAACAGCTTGGCATTGGGGCAGTTGCCAAGGGCGCCGGCCTGCGCCAGTTCAAGAGGGTGCCGCTAAATCTCAAGTTTTTACATTTTTATTTAAACAAAAGGGCGCCAAAAATAAATTAGCCAAGGGCGTCAAAAACCCATTTACGCTCCTGTTTGGGCTGTCCCTTTTCGTTGCGAAAGGTAACCCGGACGCACCAGAACACGGTACCTAATGGACAAAAGGCGAATACTCTGTCGTGAGGTCTAACAACTCATTAAAAGATTAGTCTTGAAAATGGAAATGTTGCAAGTGTTTAGTTAAGAAAAGTGAGAACCATTCCCGAAAAATCACCACCATGAGTAGATCTGTGTTGATGCTAAAAATTGCGAAAACAATATATTATGAAGGTATATCTCCATTCGGTGGGCGTCACTCATATACCCTTTGAGGGTATCTTTTAACCCAAAGTGGCGGCCTTTCTCTGGGAGTAGAGAGGCACCTTTCCCAGGGAGTAGAGAGGTGGCCTTTCTCTGGGAGCAGAGAGGCAGCCTTTCTCTGGGAGCAGAGAGGCAGCCTTTCTCTGGGAGTAGAGAGGCAGCCTTTCCCAGGGAGTTGAGAGGCAGCCTTTCTCTCTGAGTAGAGAGGCAGCCTTTCTCAGGGAGTAGAGAGGCAGCCTTTCTCAGGGAGTAGAGAGGCAGCCTTTCCCAGGGAGTAGAGAGGCAGCCTTTCTCTGGGAGTAGAGAGGCGGCCTTTCTCTGGGAGCAGAGAGGCAGCCTTTCTCTGGGAGTAGAAAAGCCTATTCTACGAGGAGAGGTGGTTCTCGCATATGTGGCCCGAACGAACATGGCTCCCCAACACCAGCAGCCCGCCCCAGATAGCACGTCCCGATAATTGTGGGGAAACTATTTGTTCGAAAGGTAAATTGTTCGAAAATAATTTGTTGGAAACATTTTTTTAACGGATAATACTTAATTTTTTTTTTTAAGGAAACTCACGGGTGAGACATGAGGGAAAATGTCACGTTTTCAATCAAATTTAGTTTTTCTTGTTATTTTCCCCCATTATTTCATTTTGAACAAACTTCCGTTGAAAATAAATTTCATTCGAACACATTTCTGTTGACACCCCAAGCGGACATCTCTTCAGTAGGACACACACACACACACACACACACACACACACACACACACACACACACACACACGCATGCACGCAGGCACACACAAACAAAAAACACACACAAAAACACACACAACACGAGGAACTGTATTTTAGGGTCGCTGCGTTAGGAAGAGTAAGAACCACTGGTATAGAATATCTAAAGTAATAGCAACTATGAACAGGAAAAGAATTTGAGTAACCGAGTCCTTACGGAACAATGATGGCACTTTATTTTTGTTAAAATCATGTGACAGGCGCTGAAGGAAAAAGAGGAGCGTGAGGCCAAGCAGGAGATCCGCCAGCAGATGGAGAAAGTGTTCTTGCAGAAGATTCTGAAGGAGAAGTTGGTCGACCTGACGAGCCAGTTCGACGAGGAGAAAGAGAGGTTCACCCTCAACATCGCCAGCCACTTCCTGGAGTTCTGCGAGTGTGATAACTCGAGGAAGGTTTTGGACAGGTAATGGACGGCTCTACGCATGCGCTGTTAAACTTCCAGTGTTGCGGCCGAGAACTTCAGATAGATTCCAGCGATGGTGGGGGGGTGGTCCGTCGGCATGGTAGATAGGAATTAGAAAATGGTTGGATTCTAATGATTTGGAATATCGGGATTAGAAGGAGGAAAGGGGGGGGGG